ACGTTTTAAAAATTACATTTACTCGCAATAATTGTTTTAGAGTTACATAAGTCTTGTACCGACAGAGCGAAATGTAAAACATAATAGCTGTGAAAAAAACTATAACGCTCTAGTGCCGTTACGTCGACTGCAATAATTAAAAATGCTCCGAATACTCTTTACTTCCAAATAGAGGTTCATGATGTAAAATTCCGTAACACATATGCAATTATCTCGACCATTGATGTTCTTCGGTTCCAGAGAAAATAAATGTTGTTGCGAAATAACAACTTTTATTTTTGTATTAAAATCATCTCTGTATTTGTAGAAAAATAATTAGTGTTCAGTTCCGTTATTTGTCACCTCTAAGACATTTAATTTGTAAATACCATTCCACCCTCAAAGGAACACGAGTATTATTAAACAATTGAATCATAATCAAGATATTAATTTTAGATTATATTGTTCTGTTGTTTTTTGTAACTTGACTTTTGTATTTGTTTGAAATATGAGCTGTCAATCGTGTTAAGGGGTTAGGTGTAGTCAGAAACATGAAAAAATTTCAATTTTAAATAATTTTTTTGGTCAGTAAATTATTTTATTTTATGAAAGTAAAATCATATTATCATTAAATAAGGTTTTGACTTGACAGAAATTTTAGAAAAAAAATTATTATTTTAAAAGTAATGGCTGTTTGTGTTGATCCAGTTCCAACCAAAGCTCCTTGCGGTGACCATCACTTATCCTTAGAGATTCATCTAAAATCAATCAAACAAAAAAAATATTTTTATTAATAGATAATCTAGTGCCGGATCGAAGCTTTTTTTTAAATTAACAAAATGGCGGCCTCAAGAAAATGTTTTCCAGATTTTCGGGAAAAAACCAACAGTTAATTGTTTATAAAAAATCGAAATAAAAAAAAATCCTTTGATCAGGCACTAGTTTTTCATGTTTTTAAAAAGCTGTATAATTTTCATTAAAATCTACCAAGCGGTTTTTGAGCTACAGTGGTCACCAGTTCAGAAAACATAGTTTTGAGAAAAACGCATTTGAAGTTTCACACTAAATTTACGTAAAGTAATACGTATTATTTAATAACTTACATCGAGTCATCTATTCCTGGGCGATATATTAGTTCTTCAGCCGTTGTAACAGCTTCCAAAATATCTATTTGATGTTGTCTACGTAGCATTCTACCTTCTCAAGTGTTGTTGTTAGCGCGTTTATCTGCCACTTTCACACGTGCAGTATCGGTTTTTCGGAATACCGATGAGAATTAGGCCCACAATCAAGACCCAGTATATTCATTATGATCAATGATGATTTCATAGCTTCATTAAATATACCAGTAGCTAACGGGGATTCTCATAGCAGCAAAAGAAATAACCAGAAAGAATATCACTGGAATGAACATGCTCATCTATACAGATAGCAGATAAGCACTACTCACCCTGAACAGACCACGAATTTATTCAGGGTTAGTACTAGACTATCACAAGGCTTTGGCCGAAGTATCCATCAACAATGTGGTCACCTTAAGATGGATCAAATGTCACGCCACATCGAAAGATAACCGTCTTGTCGATTCACTAGCCAAGAAAGCAGCCAACCAAATAATTTTTGGAACTGGCCCTTCTATTGGCCTGACAAAATCGGTAGTGACGGACCTAATTAAAGAACATTCCCTTGTGAAATTCAAGGAAAGATAGGATAAAATAAGTAACTGCAGACTTGCCAGAGAGCTCTTAAGTTATCCTGACAACACTGCAGCAAACAAATACTTGACTATGACTATACAGAATCTGCGCCTGGTCATAGGCATTCTGACTGGTCATTGCCAAGTACGGAAACATCTTCATATCATGGGGCTGTTAGAATCCACACTCTGCAGAGGGTGCGAACAAGAAGATAAGACCATCGAGCATATCCTTTACGATTTCTCGACGTTCTCATATATTAGAAGATTTGTATTCGGCGAGTATCGGCTAACACCGGCCGATATAAGAGAAGCACCTCTTGGCGAAGCTGTCAACTACATTAAATCTGCAGACTGGCTCACGAGTAGGGATGTTGCGATATTAGGGATGTTGCGATACTACTGATATCGATACTTTTCTTTCGATACCGGGTATTTTAATACCCGATACTTTGCTTTCGATACTTTACTCATATGGGTACTACTTTTGTTTCGATACTACTACTTTCGTTTCAATATTTTACTAGTTTTGACTTTACAATACGAACAAAAGTATATTGTAGGATCACTTTATGGTATGATATGTCGGCGTACCCTATGACCTTTCTTTTTTTTTTTTGGTTGTTCTGAACTCTTCCCTATATTGGTATCGATACTTTCGTTCCAACGTTCCGATACCCTTTCGTTACCGGTATCGATACTTTGGTTCCGATACTCCTTTCGATACCAGTATCGATACTTTACTGGTATCGCAACATCCCTACTCACGAGCTAGGAGGTGCCTATCACCTTAGGAGGATGTACAATGGGCCTAATGAAGTCTAAGTGCCGTGGGGGTAACCCACCCTCCATACGTTGCAGATACAGATAGCTATGTATGCAGCAATTTTTACGATAGTATATTTTCCACACTAGTTGGTTGAAGCTCTCATTATTATTCTGATTGAATCCACCTCCAGGATCTTGAAAGTAAATTGTTATTGCTAAGATCTTCATAAATTGGCTTGATAGCTTCTGAAACATCAGGGAGAATAACCGTACATATAAGTAGCAAACTCTCCACTTGCTTCAGCACGCTGATAAGAGCACCAAGAATTTTCACCTTTTGGACACATACTATAATTCGGATTTTCATCACTCGAGCTGTAGTGATAAAGGTTGCCATTATAGTAGATTTCATATGTTCAATAGAGTCACAATGTCGACGTATTGATATACCATAGTACACAGTTACTTTTCCTGTAAGCTTACCTTTACCACCAAGACCTTTTTGTTTAGTTTTAATTGTACCTAATCGAGTCCCTATCCACTTTTGAACATTCCCTATACATTCCTTTTTATTTACAGTTTTATTTTTGTAAGGATCTGCTTTTATAATTCCTGAATAGGTTTTCGAATCACCATCGTTAATGTAGTTTGCATATTTAACTCCATATTTTGTTTCAGACTGTTGAAACCTTTCGACCATCGCATTCAACTCCATTTTCCCAGAAGACCCTTTGTGATTAGCAGCACACTCATCTTCATGCGATTCACACCATTCCGCGAACTCAGTTGTATTTATGTTATTTTTACAATACTCACATTGCTTACAATATGCACATTTAATGTTTATATCAAGAATCTTTCCAGTAAAATAGCCAATTATAATGGATTTTTCAACCAGAGGTACCGGGTTTCGGTAGTAAATAAAATACAAAATAAACTAGATAATTTTAATATTCTTACAGTAATCTTTAACATAACTTATTACAATTAAGTATGAAAAACAATATCTGTCAAATGGCCACCACGGCTTCTGTGACATGATACAACTCGTTTGGCAAAATTTGAGGTTACGTCGCTACACATTTGTGGTGGAATTTCTCGAATTATGTTCCGAATCTCGTGTTTTAAATCCGGAATTGTTCCTGGATGATTCGCGTAAACCTTACTTTTAACATAGCCTTACAGAAAGAAACCGAGGGGCGCTAGGTCACACGATCTTGGCGGCGACCATTTTGCGATAGGATTCTTCCTCTGAATTTCGTCTGCAATAAGACCGTTGTTTCTCGGGCGATGTGACATGTCGCACCATCCTGTTGAAACCACATATTGTTAACTTCCATATCCCTTAAAGCTGGTCACAAAAAATCATTTATCATGGTGCGGTAACGTCCACCATTGACCGTAACCGCTTGACCGTCTTCATTTTCAAAAAAATATGGCCCGATTATGCCCCCATCCCACAAAGCGCACCAAACAGTCACACGTTGGGAGTGCATAGTCTTCTCGTGGATGCGTCTTGGATTTTCACTGCCCCAAATGCGACAGTTTTGTGTGTTTACATACCCACTTAAATAAAAGTGGGCTTCATCGCTAAACATTAACCTCTTGCAAAAGTCATTATCAACAGCCTGATTTTGAAGTATCCAATTAGCAAACATACGGCGCTGCAAGTGGTCGGCTGGCTTTAATTCTTGAGTTAACTGTATCTTGTATGGGTGGAAACAAATCTTTTGTTAAAATTCGCCACGTTGTGGTTTTGCTGAGAGCCAAGTGCTGCGCACGTCGTGGGACAGACATTTCTGGATCTGCAGCCACACTTTCACGAACCGCTGCAATGTTTTCCACAGAACGGCATGCACGTTTACGTACTGGAAACTTTACATCTTTGAAATTAGTTTCAAACTTACGCCCAAAACTGCGAATTCTTTTTCTGTTGGGCGGTTATGGGGATCAAAGTAATCACGAATTCTGCGAAATGTCTTTATGACAGAAGACTCATTTTCATTATAAGTTTTCACTATGTAAGCACACTGTTCTACCATGTATCGCTGCATTTTACAATTTGTAATGACTTGTGAAATGTCAGATCAACTCACTGTCATCAAACCATGGCACTCTATTATAAATATAATCTTTCAACATCAGGTACCTCTTATTGAAAAACCCTTTAGAAGAAACTCCAAATGACGATGTATATCCACGTTTTTGCCAGGTTCCATCTCCTGGTACAGCTAAATCACTAGTATTTTCATTTTCAGTTGTTGCCATTGCTTATTTTTCTTCATTCACAGCTTCATCAAAGCTTCTGTGACGGTTTTACTAAAATCTAACACGTGTTCCAGTAATATTGTATGCGTAGATTTATCTAAAAAAACCGGCATGTCCTTCAGGTCACAAAACTTGCACAATTATTCATATCCTATTCCTAGTATTATCATCACAAAAAAGAAGCGTCTATTTATTTCGTAAGAATGTCCTTCAAAAGAACAGGAAGGAACATATTTATTTCCACAATTATCACATGCAACTACAATTTTGAATCCCAGCCCACGTGTACTTGCTGTTTGAAACTGTACATATCCCATCACATTTTTTACACTTAACAAGAGTAAAAATTGCAGTGAATACCGTATTGAAGTTTATTATTCGAAATTCAGTACTGCTATTTTCGGGTACATCTTCTTCAGTGTTTTGTTTTAATTTTTTAGAACTTGTACTCTGGACACTTTCATTACGTTCCGCTGCTTTCCGGATTAAATACATTTTTTTTTTCACTGAACGCGAATATTTTGAGAACTCCATCTAAAGTTCTCTTAAAACTTTTCTAGAATCACGCCCCATGGAAAATTACTTGAAAAATAATTTATTCCAACACACAACTATCGACTGCTCAGTGCAACTACCAAAAGCATACTGGATATTTATATAGTTAGGTATCAAGATATATACATCAAAGTTGTGAGTCAATCATGACAACAGAACCCGAGAACCGGTCGCTTTCAGCTGCTGCTAACTACCTGCTCTCGAACGTTCCAGAACTCAGCGCCCGAGAACCCTTTGCTAATTATGGAATAACTCAAAAAGTAGTTGTCGGATTTACTTCAAATGTTCAGAGAATATTTCTAAGATATTATAATTTAAGAAAATGCCAAAAAAAAATCGTGTTTTTGAAAATTCTGACTACCCCTAACACCTTAAAAGAATAAACGTCTTTTTAATTCAGTGGTCTTTGAATCTAAATCTAAACAATTAGGTAACTTCACTTTATTTTAATAATTCTGAAGAATGCATAAAGTTGCGTGGCAACTAAGTTAAAATAAATTTAATTTAAACCCTACTTTATAAAGATTTCTTGAATAATTTTAAATTGTTAAAGTAAAAAAAAATATATTTTTATTCATCCTCTGTTTCTATCTTTGTAGAAAATGGACACCAACAAAGACGGCGTGGTGACCCTGGACGAATTCCTAGAATGTTGCCGTAAGGACGAAAGCATATCCTCTTCGATGGCGGTATTCGATTCGTCGATATGACATTCGCAAGCCGACGTCGTTCGTGAAAATCCTCCAGCCACTTGATGATGAGCGATGATGAGCGAAACGTCGTTGCTCAAAACGTTCTTTGACCAACTAGATTTTTTAAATTAAAAATCTTAAATACTATGAATACAATGATTCGGTGATAGAATAGGTAAAATAATTAGGTATTGTGTACCTACAGATTGAATTTTGAAAATTAACGCGTTTGTGGTGGAAATTGAAAGGATGAGAATTTCTGAAAATTTTCTCATATCGGTTTTTGATATCAATCTGTCAAAAATTCGTAAAAAAATATCAAGAAAATATTGTCTATTGAAAGCAGTCATGTATTACATCTACGTATCTTTAATTCAATGTTTTATATATAATTTTAAAATTAACTTGCTCAATTTATTCCAGTAATGTTAGTAAAAATTATTATGGAAAAGGTCAAGTTACTCATTTGTCTGCGATGACTTAAAAATATTTATATTATAACATCAACGCTTTTTGTGATGGTCGTATATAAATTATTGTATGCATTCGTTTGTGGATTGCTTTCCCAAGTAACAACTAAACGTATTATATGGTCTGTAGTATTGTTCACTAACACTAATTTGTTCTGTTAAAGCCGCATAAATTTTGTTTTATGGTTGTTTTAAGATTGTTCTTAGAGTAAATTTATAGAAAAACTTAAAAAACAATTATAGAATTTCTTCAAAGGCGTTTATTCAATAATATTTTTAGGATATTTTAGCTTATAGAAGTGAAATTTTCTTTAGAAACTCTAGAACATTGAGAAAATCATTTAAGAATATTTTATCCTTATATCGGCAGTTTTATATTTATCCTTATTACTTGTTCTATTAGTCCTTTTTTTAACAGCTTTCAAAAAAAGTAGCCTATTAGATACTCCTATAGAACTAATCAGTAAGAAAAGTTTAATTGAGTCAATAAAAGAGCCGATATAGTATATTTATAATTCACAATAGGACAATCATATAAAAACTATGAATAAACGATAACATAGGTATTGCTTATTAAAATTGATCCAGCTAATTCGGAGTTTTGGGTATTTTTTTATATTCAACATATCACTGCATTTCATGCCTTGATATTTTCGATGCATAATAACTAGCATTTTCTCGAATAAGCTGTTTTGAGATTTATTATGCCAAGGTAGGATTCCCCACTCCAACCATTAACTGTTGGTTTTAAATGAACAGTCCTGTTCCTAAAGAGGCGAAAAAAAACAGTAACGAAGCCTACACAGAACAATCAATAATAAAATCAATCAATCACAAACTGAAAGTGTCTAATAAAAAATTAAATACATAATTATCATTTTCTCTAATAAACTGTTTTTAAATTTAAGAATACATTTAATTGCGGTTGATTTTCCTTATTTTTTTGAAGACTTCGGGCTTGTGTATCATTCAATATTAATCGTTTTACATTCTACCAATGGTACGGTTGCGACATGTCCATTTTTGAAAAGACAAGCGATCATATCGATGGTTTGGTTCCAAATGTGGCTAACTACAAAAATCTGATTTTTGAAATATCTACACAGTCTGGCTAAAAATTTAAAGTTTTTGTTAATTCAAAAACCAGCCATACTGATACGTTTGAATTCGACGCTAAAATTAGTCGGTTACAAAGTATCTATCTGTTAAAATTATATTTTCATTAATTTCAGATGTGTTTAAGATCACATAGTTACTTCTGGAACTATAAAAAAATTTGTTAATTCCATAAGTATCTAAAATCAAGGGATATCTTAACTTCGCCATAAAAAATGCTTTCTACCCAGTAATAAAACTGAAAAATATAAAAAATGAGGTTATGGCACCACAAAAATACCGGAGGCGGCACTAGACTTTTTAAAACAGTATATAAAAAAATTTTCGACAGTCGCTTCTCATTACTGTAAGAAAGCAAAATGTATTTGAATCCGAAATTAAATATAAAGCAGATGTTGTACAGGTTATACAAAAAGGAATGTACAGAAGAAAACAAGGAATACCTAAAAGAATCTTACTATCATCTAATTTTTAGAACACATTTTATCTTGTCATTCCATGAGCTCAGAAAGGATCAATGTATGAGGCTGCCAATGCTGAACCAAGGCGAATATGCTTAAACAATACAAAACCTTCATGTTATATGTGGTCTGAGGTAGAAGGCTCACGTGGCCCGTATGAAATAGCGTCATGTCTATTTCACCACCTAAAAAGCCTTCCTGCTACTATTGAAAATGTAAGGCTATTTAGCGACACATGTAGGGGCCAAAATAAAAATCAATTTGTGGCTGCCATGTTTATTTATGCACTGCAAGTTTTACAGATTGACATAATTTATTTAAAATGTCTAGTTTCTGGCCACAGTCAGATGGAATTTGATTTTATGCATGCAAGAATCGAATATACTGATAAAAAAAAATCGCGATTTTTTGCGATTTTTAGAGTGGCTGTATCTTTGATTAAAAATGGTCGTATGTGAATGAAAAAAAAAGCAGTTAGAAGCTTAAAGTGTCTAGTTTATGCATCATGCAATAGAAAAATTTTCTAACCAATAATTAGCACAAAATTCTGATGAATATGATGGATTGAAATTTTTTGAAAAACATTTTTTTTTCACGTACGACCATTTTTACCAAAGATACAGCCACTCGAAAAATTGCAAAAATAGATAGAGATATTTTTGATCCCTTAAATTTTTTCCACTAGTGTATTTGTTGTGTAAACATTCTTAGAATAATTATAGTTTCACAAAATTGTAACTTGGGTTTGCAAATTAATAAAAACTATTTTTATAAATAATATCACATCGAAAAAACAGTATTTTTTAAATCTAAATTTATTAAAACTACTGTTAACTCGTTCTTTCAATTTAAACCACAAAATGTTTCGTTCCCATTATAATCCAAAACAATATCTGACATTTGACATACGCCCCAAATTATTATAATGCGAACAAAACAAAATACTAACCTAATGTTTATATTATAAATATTATAATCGACGTAACTTTCAATTAATTGTTTTTATATGAGCATTAATAAGAATATATTTTAAATAAATTATTATAAAAGTTAAAAAAGAATAACTTAAAACGTTGCTGAAGATGCTTTATTCGTATATAATGCGTTGGAAATGAGTCTGCGCTGGTAAATGAACATAATTAAAATAAAATTTATAAAAGATTGCATAGGAGATTTCAACTTAAGAGTACACTAGGTCACCGAAACATTTTTTTTAATGTGGTCGCTTTTTCTGAATAAAAAACTCATAATCAATATACTGGATTTAATATAAAATTATAAATGGCGGGTTTAATTTAATGTCGTCACAATCACACATTGTTGCCAGATTACGAAAATAACAGGGAAACATTAGAAATTTTGGAATTTTTCGAAAAGAATGAATTTAGTGGGAATAAATTTTACACAAAAAGTTTGAAAGGGCTTAGATTATTGATAAAAATAATATAATATTAAATAAAGTTTAATACTGATAAGCATGTAAATACTTGTTTCAACAAAAACAAAAAATATAATGTAATTTCACAAATTCCGAATAAACATATGAATATAAAACCTACTTACCTAGTGAATGGTTTATAATAGAGGAGAGGCACCTAATTTCGGATAGTTTTTTTAATATTTAGGCTTACAACTCTATAGGGTACAGTAATAAAAAATATATAGCAACATAATTTTTATTTTGACAGATTAACACAGTGAGAACAGAAAAACCAAAAATGTGCATTTTTGTGTTTTAAAAAATAGTCGCCCAATTTCGGACAACTCAGTTCCTAATTTCGGATACAAAAATAAATTGCTTAAAAAAAAATGATATTTTTATTCCAAACAAAATTCGCAAATATATTCTTTTTTCTCGTCACTATTAGGGGCATTCCTCGTGCACTCATCGGCAGCATTTTTTACATCTGACCCACTGTTCTCCTCTGACATCTTTCGAAAACAGACCATTACAAAATATACACTCGACATCTACATCACTGTTGTCCATGTCAGAATCGTCATCAAATACAGGATCAACGATGGAATCGCTAGATAAATCTTCGACCAAAATCTGCTTTTTTTCACTGTTTTCGTTTTTTTTTATTATGACTTTACCTTTGTTCTTTGTTTTACACTGGCTTAAATCTCTCCTAACACTTTTTTATTTTTCAACGACTCCTTCCTTTCCTTTTCTTTTATGCAACTTTCGGTCGTCATTGTAAGGGGTACTGGTGATGACATAGCTTTAGCCTTGTCTTCCTTTTCGATTACCTTGGCCTACATTTTGCATTCCGCTGCATGATGGAATAGGAATGATCTTCTGGCTTCACGAGATAACCAAAATTTTTTTCAGCCTCAGATGTTATGCCTTTAGCGTTTTTTTGACCCTTCTTTTCAGGTGTCTTTTCGACGAGTTCTCTATGCCTTATATTTTCTTGAGTTTTTCTTTTTGTCCGTTCTTTTCAGGCGTTTTTTCAATGGGTTCTCTTTGCCCTATATTTTCCGGCGTTTTTTCTGTTGTGTTTATTTCCTTCTTGGGGTGGGGTTCATTCTATTTGTCTTTCTATAACAAAATCTACGTCCAAAAAAATATTTCGGTTTTAGGGAAAAATTCCCGCCTTTCGAAATCCATTTACACAAATTTCGGCATTTGCACACTTTAAATACGCTTGACACATCAATTTGCTGATTTGAGAAGCGGTAATGTTGCGACCTGGATTACTTTTTAGCCATGATTGTATTGCTTGTGAATAATATGTCTTAAAAGGAGACATGAATGACAATGCAGACGATTGTCACGTAATGGGTGCAAGCGATTTCAATCAGTTCCAAGTTCCTTGTGTGGCTGTAGTGGCCATCAAGAATAAGTAAAACCAGATCCTCTTCTATTGGCTTAACGTGTGCAATAAAATTTTTAAACCACTGGGTAAATATATTTTGCTGTATCCAGCCCGAAGGGTGACAGGCGGTATCGACCCAGGAGGAGCAC